GGAAAGATGAACACCCAATATTCTGGCTCAGTGCATCCATTCACACCAAAGAAGACCCGCGTCCCTCAATGCCTGCTCCTGCTCGGCTCGGGAGCCAGGGAGGGGGAACCGCTTGGGATAGGATTAATGGGACAAACCCAGGAAGGAAGGGAGTACATGGGGCTGCTCCCGATGAGCGCACCCCCATCTTCGCTCCAGGAGCCGAGGTCGCAGGGCTGCCCCAACCGGCTGGGCACATTCAGCGTCCGCCGCCCCCCCCCCGGCACACGCAGGCAAGAGGCTTCCCAGGCGGCAGCCTTTCCTCCAGGGTCGAAGGGACCCTTTTGGCTCACGAGGTCAAATTAAAAATAAAAGGCAGGCCAAGGCTCCAGGCCGCTCAGCGGAGGGACTCCTCACCTGCACGTATTGGTTCTCCTGCACCATAATCTCATTGGAGAGGACCTTGTTGATGGTGACTCTCTTGGTGTCGGCACCGCTGTACCCTGGGGAGAGCAGAAGGCAGAAAACGGGTGTTGGGAGGAGGCTGCCCCCCCAACTGGCTCTCCTCGGGGACGGCCCTGTCCCAGGAGGGAGCTGGTCTCCGTCCTTGCAAGAGGAGGAGGGGGCCCAGTGGATTTCCAAAGGGTGTATTCCTTCCTTCCTCTCCTCCCTCTGACCGCCTTGTCAGAAGTGTTGTGATTTATCTCGAGCTGACCCCGCTGGGGTCTTCATCTCCTTTTTAAAAAGAAGAGCGATCGCCCTGGCAGTTGGCGCAGCTGCTGGGCAGAGAAAATCTCCAGAGGATGCAGAGGTGTTGGCACATCCACTGTGGGGATGCTCAGCATAACCAGATGGCCGTGTGTGCACATACAAAACACACCACAGCCTGTGCTCACAGCCAGAGCTCAGTGCTTTGAGGAAGTTTTTGCTCACTTGAACAATGAGGTGGGGGGGTGAGGGTGGGGGGTCCCTCCGGTCCGCAGGCTGTGCCCAAAGTCCAAGGTGCACCCACTGCCTCGCCCTGGACCCCAGCGGTGGAGGCAGACGGACCAGCCTGTTCCCTTTCTCTCTCACGGCTGCCTCCTTTTTCAACCTCCTGCCTCAGGGTTGATGGGATGCGTTGATGGGATGCGTGCATGTGTGGAGTTCCATGCACCTTCTTCTTCTTCTTCTTCTTCTTCTTCTTCTTCTTCTTCTTCTTCTTCTTCTTCTTCTTCTTCTTCTTCTTCTTCTTCTTCTTCTTCTTCTTCTTCTTCTTCTTTTATTTTAAAGCCTGTCTCTGTTCTGCACGTTCCTCCCCCCCCCATGCCCAATCTGTGTCTTTCTCTACAAATTCTCCCATGGACTAGAGGCATGTTGGTGTGTGTTCCATACACAGAAGCAGCCGGCTATCTTGTGAGCCCGGGTGAAACAGGTGGTCCCCACGTTCCCATTCAAGGTGGCTTGATTACTGGTGACCAATATCCCCATTATCCACGGCCACACGCTTTCGGACTAGGGACCCTCCGTCCACCTGTAAAATGGTCGAGGCAGGCTTCACCCAGCCAGATCCTTCCCACTCCTCACCTGGGCCACGGAAGGCTGATGACAGGTGTGCCCACGGGGGATCTGAAAGGGGCCGAACCAGGCATCTGGATGCCGAGCCCCCGTTCCCCATCTGTGGCCACGACAACCTACCTTTGAACATGACGGCTTCCCCGTGGCCTTCTTTCTGCTTCTGTCTGAACAGCTTGTAGCAGGCGGACGGGCTCGCCATCAGCATCCGGAATTTCTGGGAAGAAAAGGAGGGGAAGCCACGGATCAGGGCCAGGACTAGGGCTGACTTGATGTGCGCAACACGAAACCTGTAACCCTACCGCTCCCCCCTGCGTCCGCCTTAACCCTTTGCCTCCACAGGTGCGAAAAGCCTTTTTGAAGGAGGGGAATTTAAGAGGCACTTATCTACACCCAGCATGGAAGGGCAAGGGCTTAGCCTCTTAAGAGGCTCCTTAAAAAAAGGTGAGGGATGTGGTGGACACCGGTCCATTCTTCTTCCTAAGAAATTACAGATTTGCTCTACTGACTGTTTCACTTCCTCAGTCAAAATTAATTGATAAGCTGAAGAGAAGAAACCACAGAGGGACTCCACCTTTTTGCCAGGAATGGGAATAAAGGTCATAAACTCATCCACATGGCCGACGGTCAGCCAGTCTGAATAGAGCTCCACCGGTGACTGGACCTGCTGGGCATGGAGGAAGTCCCGGACCACCTTGGTCATCCTTCGTCCAGCAAACCTAGAAAGTTTGGATCCCCCAGAGGGAAGGAGGGAGGGAGGAAAAGAGGGAGGAAAAGAGGGAGGAGGGAAGAAAGAAAATAAGGGGGGAGGGAGGGAGGGAAAGAAGGAACGAAGGAAAAATGCAATCATATTTATGTTGATTGTTTTCCAATGCGAAAATAAGGCATTCACACCCCAATCAAGACACTAAGACCCAGGCAATGGGATGTAACATTTAGGAGCCACGTCAGAGTTGTCTGCTGTAGAGAGAGGGAGCTGTGAGGAGGGTTCATAAAGTTTTGCAAGGGGCTGAGAGAGAACGCGGAAAGTCCTGGATAAGGGTCATAGTCTGAACCGGCCCACCCGCTGGAGCCATCCACAGTTCTGCTGTGTGGATTTTTCCAGGGCAAGGTCCAAAAGCTTTTGCCACAGAGGAGTCAAGGGTTAGAGTGATGCTACTTGAAAGCAAGCTGGCCCAAACTGGCGGCCTCCGATGTGCCACGTTCAACACACCCGGAAGGCACTGGGGTTGAAGAGGTCTGTGGAGAAAGAGCCACGCTCCGTGGTCGCTAGCGAGCGCTCTTTCTTTCTCAGAAGGAGAGAAGGGAAGCCAGGCCACCCCAGGCCCAGCTGGGAAGCCATCCCCCCCCCCACGGGGCTTTGCCTCTCTCCCGTGGCACCTCTTCCACGAGGCGACGGAAGCTCATCCCATTCAGAACTTGTGCCTCATTCTTTTTGTTTTCCTCTGCCCTCCCTGCCTTCTGTTCCTTTTGAGCTGTGCCTTTAAAAAAAAGTGTGTGTGTGGGGGGGAGGAAGCAAGTGACACCTTGCTTCATTCTTGGCCTCACTTCAGCCGTTCTGAGGAGCCTTTGCTAACTATCAGACTGGACAGAAACGCTCCAGAGACGTTTAGGTTGCCAAGGCCTTGAGAACGGAGGGGATCTTCCAAGACGGTCTTACGTGGGGAAGCTGCTCCCGATGAGGATCCTCCCCAAAGGGTACTCCTTTCCGTTCACGGTCACAGGTGGGCTGACTTCCAGGTTCCCAAAAGAGTCCAGACTGGTGACTGTTTCAAACAGCGGTTCTCTGGTCACATAACCGAAATCCGGGCCCTGGGGGGAGAAGAACACATGCGGAAACATCAACATGACATGCATTTCGGGCTGAAGGGCTTAGTACAAATTAGAAGCCACTCCTCTGATTCTGAGCGCCTAGCTATCAAAGTACATAGCTTCTTCTAGACCATGTTGCTTCCAGACAGAGGACTCCTCATGGTATCAACAAAAGACCTCGATGCAAATATTCCACCTTTTCTTTTTCCGTGAGTTTGTTCTGTTTTCTGCCAAGATCAATGACGAAAGGAAATGCGAAACCCAGGCTTCTGCGGCCAGAGAACTCTGATAAAGTGGCATTGGAGTGATATAACAATGCAGAGCAACTCGTTCTTGGCAGCAAACCGAGATGGATCTACTTTAATTCTTTTCACTGTCCAGGGCTTCTGCTTTCCACATCCGAGAGGTGAGGCTTCAGATGGGCAACAGGAGCGAGAGCGTACAGCGAGCTTTTTGCAGGAGAGCAGCTGGGGAACAAAAGCCAGAAACAGCTCCAAGGGTGGGGCAGGCCCTAATGTTATCTGACGGGAGGCTCCGAGGTGCGAAGCAGCTGTCTGCGATAGGGACAGAGCAGCAAATATACTTATCACAATACTGTGCTAATAAGCAAGAAATGTCCCCCACGGCAAAGCCCACCAAAAGCTCTCTGAGCCATTTAAATCCCACTTAAGCCCCCCTCAGATTCATCACTCTGAACTGAACGGGATGGACAGGGGCTCTGTGCAGAACGCCACTCGGTCCGCGCAGGGCACAATAAGGGCACACCGGCCCATCTGCATCTCTGCCCTATTTATGGTGTGGGGAGAATGCCAGGGAAACCTGAGAATGTGCCAGAGAATGGACGGTTTTGATACAAGGCAGGGGCCACCAGTTGAGAGGCACCCGCTGGGCTACAGGAAGCGAGGGGGGGGGAGAGGATCTTCCCTGGGGGGGGGACGTAGCTATTGTGACTTGGGGTGGTGGTGTGGAATTTAGGGCCCTGGTGTTAATGACCCGGAAGCCCTAAGCAGTTGCCCCTGTTGGAGACTGGAAGGATCCATGCCTGCCCCACCCTGGTGTTAATGACTCGGAAGCCCTAAGCATCTGCCCCTGCTGGAGACTGGAAGGATCCATGCCTGCCCCAGCATGAAGAAGTCCCAGGAAGACCACCACCACCGCCTCCTCCTCCTCCTCCCGCATCTCGATGGCCGGAGCCATACAACCGGTGGGGAGAGGGACGGGGGCCTTACTCTGCTCTGCCACCCCACCTCTCCACCCCAACAAGACCCAGGAGGTGCTGGCCACATTTTGGCCCTACATTATTACTTCTCTTAAGCTTCTAGACCCTTGTGTTCACACCACTCTAAGCCGACGGAGGACAAAAACTGCACTGGATGTTCTTACAGGCGAGATTTTCCACAGACAGAGCCATGTTAGCCTGTAAGGCGGCCCTGGACTTTTATTTCACGCCAGGGCCCGTGGTCTAGGAATGGGTGAAACGACCACAAGGAGGATTTTCTTCTGCTCAAGACCCACAGGATAGCTCAGTCTTGGTAGTATCTGCGCGTGAGAGAACAAGGGCAGCCCCAAGCCATTCCTGCGTGTTTGCAGCTCGGAAAGCTAGAAGTCAGCAACTGCTGTCCTGCAGGGATAAGATGTCGCAGATCCCAGTCAGCACAGAAAGAAATACGAGGAACGAATCTGGAGTATGCAATTCAATGGTTTCAAGAACTCTGCTGCCCCCAGAAACGGAGAAGAAAAGCCAGAAATATCAGGGGTCTGTGTGTACGTCATAGAGGATGAGGGAGGGAGGGAGAGACCAAACACAGGTTTGGATAGAGGCTTCTCATTTCATGAAAAGCCTTGGGGAAACAGAACAAGGCCCCAAACTCCAGCCCCTGGGGCTGAATGTTGTCTTAGCTCAGAGAGAGAGAAAGAGAGAGAGAGAGAGGAAACCCTGTCTTGAGCATCTGTGCTCCTCAGAGAAATGGTCCCTTTTTTAAAAAGGCAGGGGACTGCCCTAGCTTCAAAACTCTTCATGGCAAGAGAAGGAAGAAGGATGCCAGCCTTAAGGATGCTGGCTGGGAGTTTCGAGAGTGGTAGCCCAAGAAAGTAAAACCTCCGAGCTCTTGCGGCACTCAGGGTGTGCTCGGTTCCATGTTAGTCCCGGCACGTTGACTTCCAAATGTTTTAACAAGGGCCAGGGCGGAGGAAGAATAAAGGCCAACCTGGAGCTGAAGGCAGGAGACCGCGGGCATTTGTTTTCCTGAGGGAGGGGGAGGTTTAAAGAGGGCTCCGAGAAAAGGCACCACTGAAATTCAAAAGGGGGTTCAGTTCTCAGCAAGGCAGTAAATTAGATTGTTTGAACCCACTTTGCGAGGGCGGCGAAATCTCATCTCTGTGATTAGGTTACAGGAACGTATGGGGAAGAGGATCATGGGCGGCCCTCCTCTTTGCCAGGAGATGCTCCCGAGATGGCGCCAGGGACCTTCAAAGCCAGAGATTTGTAGCAGGCGACAGGCTGACATCTTCATCTCGGGTGCTAGGACAGATTTGTCCCCCTTCCTTGGGCAAAACCTCTCGTTTCCCCCACAAGATCTTGTGGGTGGGGAGGGAGCCGCTGGAGAAAATAGACGGATCGTGTTGCAAGAGGCTTCCCAACGCAGGGCTTCCAGTGGGCTCTCGCCACACCCCCTGCCACAACCACACAAACCCCCAAATAGATTTCAGGATGACTCAGGCTATTCATTTCACCATCTTAATCCTTAATCATTCAGTAATCCCAACAGAACGCCCAGCGATGGTGGCCACCGCGCTCGGCTTTTCTCATCCAGCATACCTGAGACGGCTTGGGGCCAGAGCCAGCCCTGATGTCACCTTGCAAATTTGCAGCACGAAACTTTGTACGGCACAATTTGTTTGCCATCTTATTTAGAAGCCAATAATAATCATCATAATTCTGTGCTGTCAAGTCAAAACTGATTTATGACAACCCTTTCCAGAGTTTTCCATGCAGGGAATATTCAGAAGTGGTTTTCTCATTGCCTTCTTCTGGGGCCGTCCTGGGACTGTGCAACGTGGCCCCAAAGCCACCCAGGCTGGCTCTACTCCTGGGTGACACCAGTGGGGGATCAAACTCCCAACCTCTGGCCTCGCAGGCAGAGATTTCAACCCCTGTGCCAGCCAACTAAAAGTAGCAGAAGAAAAAGCCAAAGATCTGCTCCCTGCAGCTCCTACGGGGCATGGGTGGTCTTTTCACATTAGTTTAAAGAAATAAATTATCAGCGCTGGCAATTGGGGGGGCCCTTGGAACAAGAGCACCCCTCTAAAATCCATGCTGACCTCTGGGAATGGAGTCCCTTTGTTTTCAGCTGTTGACCAAACTATTGCACCTCTAAAATCCAAGAGAAGTACAGGCTGGCCTCTGGGAATGGAGCCCCTTAGTTTTCCACTGTAGACCAAAGCACCATAACTCTTGGGAATCATTTTGGAGAACTAACAACAGCCTAAGAGAAACCGAAATATCTGCTCCCTGCAGCTCCACGGGACATGAGAAGTCTTTATATATTAGTTTTAAAAAAGAAATTACTGATGTTACCTGTCTGTCATGGGTTTGGAGGGAAAGTTCCATCCTATGGGGAGTGGAAGGCGGGACATCAGGAGGAGGGGCTGTACTGTATAAATATGTGATGCGTAACAGCCTAATTAAAACCCAAGATCTGCTCCCTTCCGCTCTTACAGGACATGAGAGGTCTTTTTACAATAGTTTAAAGAAATTAATTATCAGGGGCGGCAATTGGGGGGGGGCTCTTCGAGCAGGAGCACCCCTCTAAAATCCGGGGGGAGGGGACATGCTGACATGTGGGAATGGAGCTCCTTTGTTTTCCACTGTTGACAAAAGCACCAGAACTCTTAGGAGTCATTTTGCAGAACTAACAGCAGACTAAGAAAAACCCAAAGATCTGCTTCCTTCACCTCCTGCAGGGCAGGAGCCGTCTTTATCTATTAGTTAAAAAAAGAATCAACGGGGGGGGCTTGGAGCAAGAGCCCCCCTCTAAAATCCAAGGGGGGGTACTGACCTATGGAAACTGAGCCCCTTTGTTTTCAGCTGTTGACCAAAGCACCGTAACTCTTGGGAGTCATTTTGGAGAACTAACAACAGCCTAAGAGAAACCCAAAGATCTGCTCCCTGCAGCTCCTACGGGACATGAGAAGTCTTTTCACAAGAGTTTGAAGAAAGAAATTACCCGGTTGGGGGGGGGGAGCAATTCGGGGGGGGGACGCTTGGAGCAAGAGCACCCCTCTAAAATCCAGGTTTGTGTGTGTTCATGCTGACCTCTGGAAACTGAGCCCCTTTGTTTTCCACTGTTGACAAAAGCACCATAACTCTTGGGAGTTCATTTTGATTTCCTACAATTTCTTCCGCTTCTGCCTTTGCTCAACTGGATGCCATTTAGGGATTACTCAAAGAGGGTTTTGCATTTTGAAAATTCAGAGAATCAAGAAGTGTCTGCAGTTTGAAAAGGAGAGAAAGAGAATTCTCCCACTCCCCAGGGTGTGAAGCACGGTGTGGGTCCACCTGGAAAAAAAAATGTGAGCCTGGCCCTGGCCCTGTGGCACTTCTGTGGACCTTCCAGCCACCTGAAAGACACTCTTATAAATAAAGAAGAGAAAAGTGGGGCAGACGTTTCTTCGTATTAGTTAAAAACTAATGTCTCAGTTGTTCTGGTCCACACAGTGAGAAGATGAAGGCAGCCTCAGAACTGATTTATAGAGAAATGAGGGTGTACTAAGTTAGGGAACTGGTTTCCGCTTGCTTCTCCCAAGGGCCAAGTAGCAATTAACTCCAGGAGGTGTGAGAGCAGACACTTCCCTCTTATATTCCTCCTCGGATCTTCTCCGTGCTTCCCTCTGCATTCAGCGGGATTAGTGGCTCCTCTTTTGCTTCCCGCAGGGCGAAATCAGGTTGCTTCCCACGAGACCATCGGGAGCTTGTTTCCTCTTAGCAGAGATTTGATCTCAGATGCCAACGCAACGAATGGGCAAAACGTAACCCATCTCACCTTCCCATTCACAGGGTGGGGAGGGGGGTGGATGTAGTGATGCTAAAATGACACTGGTTCTTGCGGATGCTGGAATATTAAAACATTTATAACGGCAGAGGATTTTGTGGAAGGGCAGAGCAGTGCGGGGAACCTTCCGCAATAAAGGAAAACGAGGTTCCATTCCCTCTGCCTTCTATGGTGTTCCAGAAATGAATTCCAGTTCCCGAGACAGAGAGAACGACATGACGGTGTTCTTTCTCTGTGTCTAAATCCTGCAGAAAGTGTAATTCACGGGCACTGAACATCAGAGGTGCCTGGACATCTGCAGAGGGGTTAAGCTCTCTTTACTGGCCTCCTTGGGAGACCTCGGCTGCTTTGCCCTTTACCCTCTGTGGTTCGGGACCTCTGGAGAGAAAGATCAGCTGCCTCTAGACCGTGACCCCCTCCAGGCCCACATCCCCATTTCCCAGTAACTCAGCTGCACCAGTCCCGGGAAGGGAATCTCTCGATTTCAGCCAAGTCCTCCTACTCAGAGGCATAAATTTGCCCTCATCTCATTTTCCACCCAGTGGAGCCCGAGAGGCTTATGCAGGCAACATGCACCTCGTGAGCAAACTGGAGGGAATGTTCGGCTAAAATGTCCCATCTGGAAAACTGAGATGGAAAAAGATAGTGAGGGGGGATTAGAAGATGCTTCAAAGCAAAATATTGGAATATAATACGCTGGGCTGCTTTGGTGTCTGAAATTGTTCTCCTCACTCAACCTTCTCCTTGTTCTCTCCTGAGTAGGGGCGTAACAGCACTCACTGGGTGCCTGGCTGAGATTTATAAATATCTATATTTGCAAAGGGAGACGGAAAACAAGGGATCAATTTGGTATTCCTATACCGCATGACAAATCCAGGGCGGCCTGGATTCGTGGGAGGCATGATAAATGATAGATTTCGCCACGTTTAAAAGCAATTAACCTTCTCCGAGCGGGCGCGTACGGAAAAAAGAGCCATACATGCTGTAATGCCAATGGCGCCTTCGCCTCGCACGCCTCTCCGATTACCACTGACACCGCAGAAACAGCAAGGGCGGGGTAGCACCAAGCTGTGCGCCCGCTGTCCCGAATTGGAAGAGGGTCCCGGGATCTTGTGAGGTGCAGGAACCCAGATTCAGGGTGATGAGGAAGAAGGGGTGGAAGACTTTGCCTCAAAACACTCCTGGCCCCTTTTTTGCTCTGTCGCTGGCACGGCTTCCGCCTGTCCTCCGGTGACATTGTCCAGGTGCCCTCTCCAATGGGCAGGCCAGAGGGAGGCCGTTTTAGCTGTCCCGCTTGTTCCTGACAGACGGTGTCCTTGGAGAACCACGTCCCTAAAGTTGGAAGGTGCATTTGCGCTGCTTCCAATGCTGCCATGGGTGGATCTGGGCCTCTCCCAATGCATGTGTGTGTGTGTGCGTAGGTGGCGTGGGTCCTGGTTTGGAAACGGAGCAGCCACAAAAACTCTCAGAAGAGGCTCACTGGCCCATCGCAGGCCATTGAGAAACTCACTCGCCAGGCCAAGAGCAGCGAACAAAGGATCAAAGCAACCTCTCTCTCAGCGGCACTCCTTCAAAGCCCAACAGAGCAGAAGGGGCCGGGAGCACAGCAGCAAGATGGAAAATGCCTTTGAAAGCCAATTTATCCCATAGGTTCTGTGACAACCTCCCACTGGCTCCCCTCCTCCTCACTGGTCAAGGAGGGGGCCTGGTTGGTGAATGAAGTGGGAGCCGGATCAACTCCCTCCTAAAGGCACAGGGGTGGCAGAGGCAGCGGTGGGTGTGTGCACGAAGGCTGAGTATTCCTTAGGACAGGCATTTGGCCACAGTGGCTCTCCAGATGTCCTTGAAGTGCGACTCCCAGGAATCCTTCCTGTGGCCTGTGCCGGCTGAGGCCAATGGGAATTGTTGTCCGACACCATATGCAAGATCACTGTCCCCCACCTGTCTGGTAGGGGTTGTACCTGTTGTCAGACTTATAAAACATAGGCCATCATGATTTCTTTCTTTCTTTCTTTCTTTCTTTCTTTCTTTCTTTCTTTCTTTCTTTGCTTTTCTTGGTATTTCTTTTCAGTTAGACTTTAAAGTTTGGCTGCCTAGACAGACCTAAAAGCCCTGGGTCCATCACCATATGGGTCCTGACTGGTGTTTGGAAAAAAATAATCAAGATCACACTATGATGTTTCCATGTATTATGTACAGAGGTGAAAACTGTACAATAAAAAACCTATGCCTCTTTCTTTCTTTCTTTCTTTGGAAATGTGGTGCTGGAGTCTTACGAATATTATGCCCCGTCAAAAAGAAAAATAACCGAGTTCTCGACCTCATGAAGGCTGTGCTCTCACTTAGACGCTGCTGCTGTCACTCTCTGGGCAGATGACAAGGCAACAAGACACAAAGGCTAGGAAAAGTGGAAGGCAGCAGGAGCAGAGAAAGACCGGAAGTTGGGGGAAATGGGCTCAGCCCAGGGGCCCATGGAGCCAAGCCTCTCAGGTTCATGGCAGGATTGTTTGGGAACCTTTCCTCCAAGGGGCCACTCGCCACCCTACATTGGAAGTGACTTGGCAGCACAGAAAGCGCGTGAGGGTTGAAGCGGGGAAGTTCAGTTCCACGAATGAGCTCAGGGGAAAGCGAGGCAAGAGAAGAGTCATCCTTGTGTGAGGGTTGAAGCGGGGAAGTTCAGCACGGACAAGCCATGGGAAAGCGAGGCAAGAGAAGAGTCATCCTGTGACAGCTGGGGACCACAATGCCACGACCACATACCCTTTCCATCATCTCCCTTGCCAGAGAGAGGTGAAGGGAGGACTTCTGCCTCCACAGCTGAAGGGACGAAAATGGGGGCAGGACTTACCAGGATCTCTTTGACAGCAAAATCCTTCAGGCCACCATCTCGTGGAGAGTCCAGGACCACTGGAAAGCCCTTGTGGGGCGCCTGGATGTAGCCAAATTCAATTTCGTCCTGGCAAAGGGAGGGGAAACCAAGAAGGTTGGTCAATGATTCCAAGCTTTAGAGTGGAAAGAAACCCAAACCAGGGGAATGATCTGCCTGCAATGCTTGCTCCTCCCTGCTAAGCGAGGAAGGGTTCGCTGCCTGAACTTTCAAAGGACTTCCTCACCTGCATCCACCGGTCCCCACGGTTCATGTACCCCGAGCAAACATTCATTTTGCAGCCAGCTTTGGTCACCAGGTTCTTGACCTCCTTCAGGAAGAGATAGTTGTCCTTCACACTGACCAGAGGGACAATAAATAAACAAAAATAAGAATTAGGTGGGGAGGGTCCACAGAAATCCCCTCCTGTTAGGAGGGCAACCCAGAAGGCTCCCTACACCATTGCTAGATTTGTGCATGGTGTGTGTGTGTGTGTGTGTGAGTGAGTGAGTGAGTGAGTGAGTGAGTGAGTGAGTGAGTGAGTGAGTGAGTGAGTGGGTGAGTGAGTGAGTGAGTGAGTGAGTGAGTGAGTGAGTGAGTGAGTGAGTGAGTGAGTGAGTGACGAGCCTGCCTCTTGGCTTCCTTTCAAGTCCCTCTTCCTTGCTCTCAAACAGGGAAACTGAACTGGTTTTACAAAGAAGTGGATCAGAGGAAAATCAAAACTGTGATCCCATTGACAAAGCAGTTAAAAACACCAACAACTTTCAGACTAGCCCATTTTTGCTTGAGTTCTTAGATCAGCCAAGACTCCTTGCTGTCCCTCAACCCTTTTAGGCCAGATGGGCAGGGTATAAA